CCTAGGGAAAGAGAGGGAAGGGCGAAAAGAGAAAAAGGAAACAAGGATGGGGAAATGATCACTTCCATGGAGGTCATCAAGAACCTGCCACGTGAAATCTAAGTAAAGAGAAGAAGAGCAGAGAGAAAGATCAAGACAAGAAAGGGTGCGAGTCCGAGAGTCCAAATGAGTGGGCTCACCAGAATTCAGAAGAGACAGGGAAGAAGAGAGGAGAAACGGCTCAAGGAGGCGACCCCGGGTATTCGTCAGAACGTCACCCCAAAGAGAATGACGACAATTGAAGTCACCCAGCAGGAGCACAGGCTCCGGCAAAGAGTCCAGGAGGTGTTTCAAATCAGGAAGAGAGAGCGGGACACTCGGGGGGAGATAAATGGAACAAACTGTGTACCATTTACCCACAAAGATACGAGCAGCAGAACAATGGAGAGGCGAAGGAAAAAGTAAAGGAACAAAGGGAACATCAGCCCGAATCAAGAGAGCAGAAGAATTAGAAGCCCCAGCAATGGCTGGGGGGGGGGGGGGGGGGAGAGAAAGGAATAGCCACGAAAACGACCAGGACGAGCACCAAGCATTGGCTCCTGGAGACAGACACAAAGGGGCGAAAACCGCGAAATCAGAAGTTGGAGTTCGAGGAAATTGGCGTAATAACCTCGAACGTTCCATTGAAGAATGGACAACGACGGGAAGAGAAAGGACAAAAACAGAGAACAAGGAAGAAACAAAGGCGAAAGAGCAACAGAGCACGTTAAAGAATATCAGGGTCGGGATCAGGGTCAGCAAAGTCAGGGTTAGGGGGCATGGGTAAACTGAGCAAAGACGGAGGGAAGGAAACGGGAGAACAGATCAGAGGTGGGCGGGCAGGGTCCGGAGGAGGAGGAGGAGGAAGAGGAGGAGACAACGGAGAGGAGCCGTCAAGGACAGCAGCAGGAGGAGGGGGAGTAGAAAGAGGGGAGCGCACCCCAGCAAGAGCAGCAACCAAAAGGGAAGCAGGGGCCAAAGAAACCTCCATAGCAGGAACAGGGGGCGCAAGCACTGAAACGGGAGGGGAAGGAGCAACAGAGCCAGAAGGAGGAGCTGAGGAAGAAAGCGAAGCCTTCTTACCCGCCGGGGAAGAGGAAGGAGAGGAGCCAGGCTTACGCTTCTGACTTAAAGAGACCGGTGTCCCAGCAACTACGTACCGGGCAACGGATTCCAGTGTCTCAACAGGAGAAGCCGAACGAGAGCACACACGACGGCCGTTAGGAGAGCGATGGACATCCGCCCGCACCGACAGGCGGTGGGGAGAGCCGATAGATGGAGGAAGAGGATGGGAATGAGGATCGGAGGGGGACGAGGAAGAAGACACAGAAGACACGACAGACCGGGTAGAAGGAAGGGGAACCCCAGACAGAGGACCAGGAGGAGGATCCTTCGGGAGAGAACCCAAAGGAACAGAGGAGGGGGCAGTGGGCGCATCAGGGTCCAAGGCCCGGAAACGGTTGTGAGTCTGAGGAAGGCGGGAAGGACGAGGAGAGGAAGAGCGCAACACGCGAGCATAAGAGATATTAGCATAAGGCGGGAGCCGGCGAACCTGGCGCCTCGCCTCAGGAAAAGATAAACGCTCTCGGTGCTTCAGGTTGAGGACGGCTGCCTCAAGCTTGTAATGGACACACGCACAGGAGAAGGTAGGATGGGCCTCACCGCAGTTGAGGCAACGAGCCTGGGGAGAAGTGCACTCCGACTTAGAGTGAGCTTCGCCACCACACAAAGGACAGAGAGAGACAGTCCCGGAGCAGCGGAGGGCACCATGCCCAAACCTCCAGCACTTGTTGCAGAGCCGAGGAGAAGGAATGTACTCCTGGACAGAGCACCTGGCACCAGCAAGAATGACAGAGGGTGGAAGGGTCCTACCATCAAAGGTAATCTTCACAACCCGGAGGGGTTGACGGCGACTACCACGAGGGGGACGAGTAAACGTGTCCACCTGGAGAATAGAATGGCCCTGGGCAGCGAGGATATGTCGAATATCGTTATGGCAGTCGCGCAGGTCCCGAACACCAGTTGCAACATGGGGCGGGAGCAAAATAGTGCCAACACTGGCATTCAACTGAGCGTTCTTCGAGACCCGAACGGGGGTCTCGCCAAGGCAGGATAAGGCAGCTAAGCGGGAAGCAGCATCCTGAGAAGGAGCAGCAACGACACGTGTACCGAGACGAGTGGGGTTGAAAGTAATGGAGGCATCCACGGAATCAATGAGATGTCGATGAAGGGAGAAATCGTCAGGAGGCGCAGAATCAAGAGGTAGGAGATCAAAATATTTGGCCCACGAAGCGGGACCAAACAAGGCTTGATAGGTAGCAGAACTGGAAGGAATCGAGCGAGGGCGGCCGTGACGAGGACGGCGGTGAGAACCCCCAGAGAGAGAGGGGTTAAAAGGCGCAGTAGTTACAACTAGAGAAGGAGCCGCGCCAGGGGACGAGGTAGTCACCACTGGGGGCTTGGAGCTCGACCCAACCACAGAAGAGGGAGGGGAGCTAGGGGAAGGAGTCAGAGAGGCCAAAGGAGGAGCAAGGTCGGGGCCCAATGCAGCGGAGGCTACAGAGCCCGGTCTTCCAATACGGACCGACTCGGGGGCTTGGTCGCCCACCCCACGAGCCTGAGAAGGTAAGCCAGAAGCAGCCGAAACAGGGGATATCATCTTGACGAAAAGAAGAATTCACTCACGAATGTGCCCCCACACCCACCATGGAGCCACAATTAGAGGCAGGACACCCAACAAGAAGCTATCGCCGATCTTGTCGGGGCCTCCTAGGGGTGCGTTGTGAGTATACACCCCACAAACGCCACCTTAAGAAACCGACAGTCCGTCGAGATCGGGTTCAGTGACGAAGTGGGGATTGACAATAAAAGGTTCCCCTCGCTCTCGACGTCGGGTACTGCAGTTCTACGGGTGCATGAGTATGCCTCCTCAAGCACCCGGGCGTCAAAATAGGAGAAGTCCATGGAAGAACCAGAACGAGCAAAAGGTCGGCAGGAAACGGCAAGCAGATAGGAGAAGAGGGGGGAGAAAAACGAAACAGAAGGAAAAGGAAAAGGTGCCCAGCAGAATTGGAGAGGAAGGCAGCAGGAGCACAAGGCTAGAAAAGGACAGAGGACTGTCCTAAGGAGCATCACACTCCGGCAGCCGCCCACGAAGCCCCCACACGGCGACAACGAGCTGAGCGGGGAGGGGGTGGGGGTTTACAAGTAGTGTTGTTATTTATTCCTCGGGTTCAGTTCCATTCTCTTCTGGGGTATTTATTTTTCCTCAGTTATATTCTATTTATCCTCCTTTACATTTCTATTTGGATTCTTCACTTTTTATCCTATTTATTTTATTTATTTTTATTTTATATTTTTATTATATATTTAAATAATTTATATATTTATAATTTATTATATTATATAAAAAGAGAAAAAAAAAAATTAAGCCATGCTTTGCTTTTCATGCTTTAAATGTTTCCATGTTTGTGCTTATAAGTTTCTTGCCTAAATGTTTAGCCATGTTTCCTTAGCTTTTTCTGTACCTGCCCTGGCCGCCCGCTAATTTTTTCCCTCTCGGCAGTACGGAGACGCTGGCCCACCCCCACGCGGTGAAGAAGAGGACAAGGGCGGCGTCAACGAGAGGACAGCAACGAATGGGCGCTAGGACGCAACCGCCCAGGGCAAGGGTGAAACCCGCCCACTTCGCCTCCCCCCTCCTCGGAGGCCTCTTTGGGAGGCTCTGACTCGGACGGCGACCACATCCGCGATGCACGCCCAACCGGCACGGCCACGGCGGGCGCGGCCGACCACCCCCCACAACTTTCGGCCGCCGACTGGGCAACGCTGCAGACGCTCATTGCTCAGGCTCGGAGCCCCCCCCCTCTGACCCGAGGAGGCGGCAGCCCTCGAACTCCGGCGGAGCAGATGACACGGACGTCCTCATGATTCGGCCTACACGCACAGCCCCCCCAGGTGCGCCGCCCACGGTCAAGGGTGAGGAGGCATACGACAAGACGATGACACAGCTCCTCCAGCACGTCCTCCAATGGTGAGTACCGCAGAGAGAGCTTGTTCCCCCCCTACTCCTAGTCCTTGGGTGGGACAGCCCTGGGGGACGCGAGGCAACTCTATCACTATGCTAGGCAAGCACGTTCCACTGGCCCTACGTGAGAAAGTCTGGGCAAACAAGTACATCGACCTGCGTGAGCTCCTGGCATATGAGCGTGATGCCAGGCCCTCCGAGACACGACATGCCACTCCCTCCGAGGCCCAGTTGTCCACCAAGAACTTGCCGCCTCTGACGCCGAAGCAGTGGGGGCACGGCTTTGACATCTTCGCTTCAATCTACCTGGAGCAACATCCCGCCGAGGGGCAGGCGCTGTTCACTTATGTCCGCTATGTGAAGTCCATGAAGCGCAACCTCCGCGGCAACTGGATGTGGTACAACGAGGCATTCAGGTGGGACAAGGAGAGGTCGGGCTGCCCTTGGACTGCACTAAGACTCAACCTGGAGATTCGGTCGGTACAACGTGCAGCGCAGGAGCGGATTCAGGCGGTGCCTCGCGCCGTCGCCTCCCCAGCTGAACGTTCCCTCTCTACTGCACGGGCCTACGGACTACCACCAGGATACTGCTACGCTTTCCACGCAACCGGGGCAGGCTGCTCCGGCGCCTCCTGCACCCTCAAGAACTACTGCCCACGCTGCCACAAGCGACACCCCGCCTACTGCCCGTGCCCCCAGGCCCAACCTCGAGGCACCACCGCCAAGGTGAAGCATTCCCGTCGCCCCCCACAGGACAGGGGCAGGAAGAGGGACACACGTCACAACGCCAGTGGATGCAGACGCACTTGATGCGTTCCTGGTGGGATACCCCCTCCGGGACTACGTCGTGGGAGGCTTCCGGGGGGGTTTCCTACTCGGTTACGAGGGGGCGCGGACTCCCCTCTCCTCTCGTAACCCCCCAGCAACTACGGCCCTGCCACATATAGTGGGGCCTATGCTGGACAAGGAACTGAGCCTGGGGCGCATAGCGGGCCCCTTTGAAGCTCCTCCAATCGAGAATTTCAAGTGTTTTCCCATAGCCCTGAGAGAGAAGTCTACGCCGGGCAAATACAGGCTCCTGCACAACCTCAGCTACCCCTATACCTCGGAGAGCGAACGCCAATATATCCCGCAGGAGACGACAACAGTGACCTACCAGTCCATCAACGACGCGGTGGCCTTGGTGGTCAGACGCTCGCCGGGAGCGCACTTGGCGAAGTGCGACATAGCAGAGGCGTTCCGGATCGTCCCGGTCCACCCCAGCGACTACCACCTACTCGGCTTCGCCTACGGGGGGTGGTACTACTACGAGAAGATGCTCAGCATGAGGGCTGCACCCTCCTGCAGGATCTTCGAGACGTTCTCCAGCGCCCTGCAATGGATCCTCGCGGAGAAGCTCGGCGTGCAGGACGTCGTGAAGGTGCTGGACGACTTCCTCTTCGTGAGTTCTACCTACAACGAGTGCTTGCGGAGCCTGCGGGTGTTCACTACTCTCTGCGAGCGCCTAGGCGTTCCCTTGGCCCCCCACAAGACCGAGGGCCCCTGCCCCTGCCTCACCTTCCTTGGACTTGAAATCGATGCCCGGTGTATGGAGACAAGGCTGCCGGACGACAAGAGGACGAAGTACATGGCTGCAGTGGAAGACGCACTAGGGGCCGAGAGCCTAAAGGCTCGAGAGCCTTAAGGGAGCCGGTCGGCCGAGCGGACAGCACGCTGGAATTGTGATCCTGTGGTCCAGGGTTCGATCCCAGGCGCCGGCGAGAAACAATGGGCAGAGTTTCTTTCACCCTATGCCCCTGTTACCTAGCAGTAAAATAGGTACCTGGGTGTTAGTCAGCTGTCACGGGCTGCTTCCGGGGGTGGAGGCCTGGTCGAGGACCGGGCCGTGGGGACACTAAAACCCCCGAAATCATCTCAAGATAACCTCCCCCTGCAGGACCTGCAGGGGATTATCGGCAAACTGCAATTTGCCATGACAGTCATACCAGGGGGACGGGCTTTCCTCAGACGACTCCACCCACTCACACGAGGTGTCCAACGTCCCTCACGCCTCTGCCCGCTGGACGTGGAGGCGAAGCTCGACTTGGGAGCATGGCACACTTTCCTCTGCGCATTTAATGGGATAACAGTTTTTCCACCAGACGGTGGATGGGGGTGCGCCACGTCCCTCGCGATGTGTGCGGACGCTTCATTCAAGGGTTACGGACTCACACTCGGAGCAACCTGGTTCAGGGGTACCTGGTCTTCGGCCTGGAGCCGACTCAACATCGCGCTCCTCAAACTTTACCCTTTCTACATGGGGATATCCATCTTTGCAACAGTGTTAGCAAACAAGAGGCTTGTGTGTAGGTCCGACAACGCTGCTGTGGTAAATGTGCTGCGATCTCTGTCCGCCAGGTGCCCCCTCATGCAACTGGTCCGGCCACTGGCAATCCTCCTGCTCACCCATAATATTACGCTTCTTCCCTCACATCTCCCGGGCAAGTTAAACGGGGTTTGTGATGCTCTTTCACGGTTGCAGGTGCTGCCGCCCTCGTTCCTGCGAGACACAGGACTCGCCGAGAAGCCAACCGCCGTCCCGCAGCACCTTCTACCCTGCAACTTCACCCTGAAACTGTAAGGACGCTACTCGACTCCCTGCAGCCTGCGACACGGCGCACGTATCGGCATAAGTGGGCGGAGTACGTGGCGTACGTATCGGCCGACAGGAGACAGGAGTGTCCCTTTGAGGCCTCGTCCTCGACCCTGGTGAGCTTCCTGCAGTCGCTCCTGTCTTGGGGCCTGGCTTTCCGCTCTCTCAGCCCTTACCTTGTGGCGATCGCCTTCATGTTCAAGCTGCATGGTAGGGAGGACCCTACTCGCCAGTTCCTAGTCACACAACTGTTTAAGGGAGCGCGCAACAAGGCTCAATGGCCCCCTGCACGATGGTTGCCCGTGACCAGACAACTACTGGAGGCCCTGCGAGGTGTCTGCGGCTCGACTTACGAGAAGACCTGCTACCGAGCGCTTTTCTCCCTCGCCTTCTACGCCTGCCTCCGGCCAGGGGAGGTGACCTATGCGGGAAAGGGGCAACACACGCTACGCTTGGACCAGTTAACTCTATCACGGACGGGGATCGACATCGTCTTTGCCTCCTACAAGCACAGTGCAGGTCGTACCCCCACTTTAAACCTGAGTGCAGACCCCTACAGCAAGTATTGCCCGGTCCGTGCCTTGGCGAACTACATTAGACAACGAGGCATGGAACCAGGTCCTATATTCCTAGACGAAACGGGCGCCCCAGTCACCAGACAAGATTTCACTAGAGTGCTCCGTGCTGCCATTCGGGCACTAGGACTGCCTCCATACGATTATGCTCCTCATTCCTTCAGAATCGGCAGAGCCACGCAGATGTCCAAGGATGGCCTTGCGCTGGCAGCAATTAGAGCAGTCGGCAGGTGGAAAAGTGATGCATTCCACTCCTACGTCAGGCAAGATGTCATTCCACTACCTAGATAAGTTACTTCTGCGGCCAGCGGGCACCTCGCCCTTCGGGGGGTGGGGGATCGGCTGCGCTGGCCTGCGGAGTGGGGGTGCTGCGCCGGATCCCCAAGTCTAGGGCTGCCCGCAGCTACTTACCATATGTCAAGTGCTCACTTGTAGTGCAAGTTGGGGGTTGCAGACTTTACATGTAAACTAGGCACTAACATATCATTACCCCTGGAAATTATTACCTATTCTTTCTTTGCACTCTGTGTATACAGAATATTTTATACATACTGGACCGGCTGTGCCACTCTTTAACTGTGGTGTTGTCTTCAATTATAGCATTAAGCTGATTGTGAGTACTGCAACATTGCTTCGGCTAACTGGCACTAGGCACTGTTAATGTGCTACGATTTATTTCCTTAGTTACATCTTTGCAGTACTGGCATTCTACTCAGTCATGTTATATGATATCTTTTATATTATACTGTGGTACAGCCATTGCTCTGTTACATTAAGGGACTTAATTTATTTTATAATAATAAATAATAATTAATTATTTACTTTACCCTAGCTTGTTCTGAGTGTAAACCTTGTATCCTGCTTATGTGGACCAAGGCTTTTAACGTAAGATAGTGTGATAAAGTAATTATTATTATTGTTATTGGTGTGAATGTATATGGGGGGGGGGAGTTGTTAAGGGGTTAATAAATAAGTTAGTTAGTTAAAGGAGTATCCATTCTTCCTGCGTAGGAGATCTATGATCAACCTCTAGACTGACATTGTCTTTTAGCCAATTATTCAGCACTGCTTATAGTTTTATTTGGGGGCCGGGCCTTCTAGATCTCCATAACTTGGGTACATCTTAATCCTAACTGCCCCTACACTAAATTATTACGAGATCCCTCATAGTAGTACAGCCCACAATTGTAACATAAACAGTCGAGGCATCAAGTGAAAAGAATCTATAAATCCATCAACTTTTTTGTATCTCACCTTGTATGTACTTTACCTGAATAAATATTGTATTTGTATTTAGAAGGTTGCCCAACCGTTTGTCCTACATTCCCAGGGGTTGAACCCACATGACCCTCGGTTGCGAGCCGAAAACGTAGGCTACTGTACTTAACACAGTGTTATAAGCTAAAGATTAATCTATATAGGTAATTAGTAAACATCCACCAGTCTCAGGAAACCATAGAGTTGTGCTCTGGTAGTCGGTCTGGAGTGGTCTCTATAAATTTATAAACTCTTCTATAAATTTACCTGTGAGCTGCCACACGACAGCTTGTCAATAATAATAGTCCCCAAACTGTTCCTAAAGACTGGTTCTAACTGTACATATTTTAATTAAACTGAAGTAACTTAATTGGCAGATTTACAACTTCGCTGCATTTTCAGTTGAACTTATAGCTAGTTTTTGATCTACACTGTGTAATCTTTCATACAGAATAGGGTCTCCTGAGACTGGTGGATGCCTACTACTAGGGTAGCAGCACATTGCTGTGTATACCTAAACTTGTTAATAAAAAAAACTGATTTATTATACCTGCCACAACTCCTGATTTATCCGAAAGGTCACTTATCCTCGTGGCCTGGACGCCGACAGCAAACCGGCGGCTTGTCGAGGATCCCCCTAAAATATTAATTTATAATAGCAATATTATTTAAATTAAGATAAATAAAGGATTATATTACAGTAGTCACTTAGCATACACAGTTGAATGTGTATGCTTTATAAAGCTACTATAATTACGTACAGTATAATTACAGTCTAGTCATTGATGACACCTTCAACCAGCAATTCAATCGCTGGCCAGACCTTGAGCTGAGAGGATGTGCGCGCCTCCTCTCCCTCTTTGGGTCAAGTCCCTCGTCCTCAACCTTGCGTTGTGATCGCCGGGGCGGTATCATCACAATACTACTGTGCTGCTGAGTGTTCCAACACTGTTGCATAAGTCACTAGTATCAAAGGAATCCTAGAGTGAACTAGGGAGTGGCGCCTGAGGTCGGAGGCAGGCCAGCCTGCACCCTCCGCTCCCTTAGGGGAAGCTTACCAAACATTAGTGTTTGATGCATTGCTGGTGCTAATAACACAGGATCACCTGTACAGTGTACCTGGGACTCACTGTAAGACTCTTTAGCAAGAACCACAGGGCATCTACAGCTTCAGGCAACAAACAGCAAGGAGAGTTGTGGGATCGTAATCTGACCCCCACGGACCTCTGCCCCTTCCGGTTAGGGCGCTGACCCAACGGTCCCCCCTATCCCTTCCCTGGCGGGAGGTTGACAGCCGCCAACACTTCAATGATGCCAGCTTTGTACAGAGCACCTGTACATTCCTAGTTATAAGACTTATCTTCCCCACTTTCTCTTATTCTTCTCATTTCGCCATTTCAACAGGTCAAGTGGAACAGTCCAGTGGCCCATGCGATTACCTGTAAAATCTGGGGGGCCACTTGACTTGGGCATCTGTTCACTTTTGTAGCAGGGTTAGGCTGTGTTAGGGGACATTCTGTCCACACATAGGAGAATAAGTCACTGAGGGCTACCCTCTGCGAGTCCCATTAACCAACCAAGTGGAATATCCAAGTTTTTATCCAAGTCGTCTGAGCACTCTCAAACCCACTGAGAACAGGTTTATGTCAGGTCTCTACCCCTCAGAACAGGTTTATGACTGTTGGCACTGATGACTGGTAGGGCATGCTGCCTGCTCTGCCATTTGTCGTGTTAATCATCATCATATGATTATCAATGCAAACCAGGTATCGGAAGAGGTTAGAGCAACAATTAATGCCGCCTGAAGAAGCAGGTATGGAGGTAGCTGCTGGACCCTCAGGGCTCTCCCCTACCGTGACCAGTGACAAAGTCACCCCACCACCCAATGATGGGTTTGTGGAGGTGGTAAGTAAAAGGCTGAGAAGGAAACAAGGGAAACAGAAGCCTGGTGAACAACAGTGTGGAAGGCGTCCGATAGCACCAAGGAACGAGTACACACGTCTGACCTTCCCTAAAGGCACGAGTGTGGCGGACAGGATTGTGTGGAGTAAGAAACTGAGCGAGGAGTACCCACCTGGCTCTGCAGGCATGCTACGTCCATATGTGTATGTTTTAAGAGAGAAGGAGCAGGTTGTGGAGGCTCTTCTACAAGGGAAAATAGGTGATGTAAAGCTCTCCCTTCTAGATAATCCAACACGGAATAAGATGGTTGAATACCTA